ATTGAGAGGGATCGTCATGCCGCCCTTGTCCACGCATCAGATTCTCCTCACGGGCACACCGACCAAAGTGGGCACGACGCGCGCCAGGGGATGCAGTATCGCGCTATCGGGCTGCGCGCCTCGTAGCTTCAGAGTACTCAACAAGGACGCAAAGGATAAGGTGCAGATTGCTCAGAGTAACGAATTGGACGATAGGCGCTTGAAGATCAAGGCTACGGGATTAGATGCTAGACCCCTCGTTCTTGCTCAGGCTAGAATGGCTGCTGCTTTACAACGCAATGAAAGTTCGACTAGTGCTGATGTGACCAACAAGAAAATCGTCTCAACCCCCAGCAGCAAGTTTGTCTCTTGTCAAGTGGTCGACCCCCAACCTCTGCTCGTCCTTCAAAGCGCATCTACGCCCCACGGCTCCCTCGTCCTCCTAGATGGCGAAATGACCACGATCAGATTGCAAGTGTTGAATGCGGGAACTTTGCCGGTGGATTGGATTCGTCTGTCTTTTATGGACAACCTGAGCGAAAAGATGAAGAAGGAGCTCAACGAAGGAGAACTGAACCCTTCGCAGGCCTTTTTGGCCGAGGATAAGTTGCTGCACTCACCCGTGCTCAGCTATTCGCTCTCACCTAGGCACGCAAAGCACCAGATCTCACCCGGCGAGACGCGCGAGTTGCAGGTGAATGTGAGAGCGCGCGTCGGCTGTACGCATTTGAGCATCTTTGCGGATTACGCCTACGTCGACGGACCTGGAAGAGGTGGATTGCAAACGGACGAAGCGCGCGATTGGTATCATCGAAGACTGAGCGTACCGCTAGCCATCACTGTCCTACCCGTTGTTGAGCTGGGCAAGCTGGAGATAAAGACGCTCAGACCTTACGAAGCGGTCAGGACCTTGGCGGATGGACTCAAGGCGCTGGAAAGGACGGGAGGCGGTTTGCCTGACGGCTTGGCTGATGCCAAGCTGTTTGAGAGATTGCTCCAAGGTAGACCGGACAAGGAATGTCTCGTCTCTTTTCCTATGGTCAATGCGCACCGCAATAATGTGGAAGTTGTCGTTTCCCTCAAAGATGGTGAGTCTCGACAGGAACCCCTCAGATAGGCAGGTGAGCGATCGAGGATTATGGAGTGCTGAACTTGTTCATGTGCTGCGTTTCGCGCGCTGCAGAAGCCTATCACTCCAAGCTTCGAGTCCGACGATCTCTTCCTCAAAATGCGCGAGCTCAGATCGTCTTTCCCTTTCCAAGGCTGGACATTTCGACAGAAGAGCTGGACAGGCCCATCCCTTCTCTATCCCCGCGCCAATTCGTCGTGCCCAAGTCCAAGTCATCGCCGGCCGAGCAGGCCGTCGCGCGAGCTAGATTTTGGCTTGCGCAAGAGGTTGTGGCAAAGCTTTCTGGTTGGAGGGAACGCGCGCCTGGCGTCCGATCTGATGGCATCGGAGGAGCGAATGAACACGCGTCGCTTGAAGGAACGTCCACGAATGCTAGAAGTTCGAGTGCGAGATGGATCGACAGGAGTACTGGAAGAAAAGGCTACATCGATCTCTCATCGTTGATGGTCGCTGATGATCACCTTCAATGTCTGCGCCGGGACCCTCTCTCGCTCTCATTGCATATCTCGACATTCGCAGGAGGAGACGCTGTGCAGGAAAATGGACTGGTCGGTTCTGAGGAGGCGAATGGACGATTGACACCCGAGAATGATGCAAATGAAGGCCTTCAACGTACTAATGGTACGCTCGACAACGGTGCGCGATCCGCATCAAAGGTGCGCACAGAGTTGAGCGAGCGGACGCTGCGCACTACAGCAGAGACGTACATCGACATTGTCGGCACAATACGTAACGAGAGCGCGCGCAAATTGCGCTTGACATATCGTTTGATTCCTATTGCAGCATCATCATCCTCCTCATCATCTTTGAGCAGCTCTTCCGATTCCGCTTCCGCTTTCGCCGCGCAACAACAACAACAGCAACAACAGTCCAACGATCCGCTCCTGGCCAACATCCTCGTGACTTCTGGAAACTTGACCGGTAACATCTCCCCCTGGCCCGTACTGCCCGATCAAAAAGGCCACTTCAGTGCCGGCCTCACCTTTCTCGCAAAGGGTCAATACAACTTTATCGCCGTGATTGAGGAATGTGCCGCATTCCAAAGCACAGTCTTCTCATCCCCCTCGCGCCAAGATTCCTTCTACGGTGCCGGCGTCGAAGCGAAGGATTCGCAGTTGGCCCAGGCTGCTGCTGCTGCTGCTGAAGCGAGAGAAGCGCTAGAGATCAGAGCTCGCGTTCAGGTACCTTTCAAGGTCATCGTTGACGAGAGACCCGAAGCTTGAGGGGGCATGTGTTGCTTTGGTATTTGTACGCAGTCTGATCCCGTCACCTTTGCCCCCTTGTTTGAGGGAAAATTACATGCATGTTTGACACTCGGCACCCAGATTCGAGAGAGTGGCCCGCCCGGCTTTGCACAATGTACAGACGGTGCTTCGATTCGCTTGCCATATTCGTACAAACGCGCCTGGCGGCTCGAAAGTCTGACAAGGGTCAAGTGACAAGGTGGCAAGAATCGCGCGCGCGCGCGCGCTATGGGTCGCTGTCGGCGCTGGACAATAGAGATGCGACAGCTACCGGCTGCAGAGTGACCAGAATATCGTTGAGTATGCTACGACGGGTCCAAAGCAAAAGTCGGTTCGGCACAAGTCTATCAGCGACGCACACATTGGTTTGTGCCGCGAACGCAGAATCCGCAATCGACCGCTCTTCACTCACCCGGTCAAAATATCGTTGGACGAAGCGATGCTCATCAGCTCGTCCTCGGCATCCACCAGCGCATCCATGATGTGCTCAGCAGCCTTGATCTCCCAAGTTGCCGGTCTGCCGGAAGAAGCACCCTCCGCAGCGATCCTACTTTGGCTTCCTTCCACGCTCGGGCGAATACTTTGGCTGACGTTCCCTGCAGCAGCCGCAGGGGGTAATGGCAGACCAAATCTTTCCGCATTCTCTTCTGCGCCAGCCAAAGAGGCGTCCAGACCTGTCAATGTCGTGCTGGCCATTTCGGATCTTTGCACGCCAGACTTGGTGAGGATGGTGGAAGATGCTCGGGCCAAGAGGCGCAGGACCAGCGCAGCTGTTGCAGCCACGCCCAGCGGTGCCCCGCTCGTAGCATCCATCGGCGTCCTCGTCACGACAAAAGGTACAGCGTCAGGCCGGTCGATTGTGCCCCTGCCAAGTACCAATTTGCGCTTCAAAGTTGCCAACTCTACTCCCACCCTTCGACCACCGTCCGTCTGCTCTACGATGCTAGATCGATCCAGCGGCTTGGAAGGCTGGATGGTCTGGTAGGCGATCCAACGTTCTCGATCTTCCTTCAGATCAAATGCTGGCTCTGCAGAAGGCAAGTGCGCCTGGATGTGAGAGCGAAGCAGCATGACGGCAGAGCTCGCTTCCAAGTCGGGAGGCAGTGCGTAAGAGCAGGTCAGCCAGCCGCAGCGCCCTCGAGCTGCTAGCGTTGCGTGCGCAGAGTGAACGTGACCAGCAAGCTCGTCGTGACTGGCGCACGCTCTGTTGGTGCACTGCCGCCATTTGCACTCGAAGCGGCGCGCGTCTGTTCCCAAAGTGAGACGCAAATGGCGGTCAGCATAGCGCATCGAGGTGCTGGCCGCTCTCCATCGTCCTGTGACATACTCACAAGACCTGTCCTTGAGATCGATGCCGCTTATGACAAATACATTGCCACCATGAACAATTGCAGAAGCTCCGCTGAACACGTGCGAGACTTGTCGGATCACGTCTGCAGGAGGGATCAAGGCTGAAATGTTGGGATGCTGCAAGAAGGGCGAGAACTGATCTCTATAAGTGGTCCAGACCTCCATCTGAGACACTTCGGAGCCAGGCTTCAACTCGTAGACTGCTCGCAACCTGTGTGAGGGCGTGAGAACATCAGACAATGCACGGTTATCAGTCCACATCGAGCGCGCCGACTCACCAAGTAAAGAGTCGCTCCGGTTCCGGCAAGGACTTCATATGATCAAGCTCTTTGCTGTTGAGCCACCTTTGCGCCCTGCCCTGTTGCTGAGCACTCAAAGCCATTCTTTGCCTCTCCTCATAAGCCCTGCGAGTTGGCACGTCGGTGTACAGCTTTCTAAAAAGGTCCGGGCGCGTAGAATTTGGCGTTTCCCTGTCCCAAACCGCTCGTTTGTGCGTCAGCTGCTTGATCAAAAGCCTGATCATGCCAGACACATCCCTCGGTCGTTCTCTGTGATGTCGAGGGTCTATCGAGTCCGGAGTGTGTCCTCTCAACTGCGTCACTCCGCCATCCGCAAGTCGGATCGCGTTGTTATGATTCTTGAGCAGCTGATACAAGCAGTCCAGCGCGCTTTCGGTGAGTGTCGCATCGCCCCTTACAGCGAGCAGCTCTGCGCACTTCTTGGCGACCGCGTCCACCTTGGCAGGGTCGCCAAAGATTGGCTCATTGCGCTCGTTGTCTGCAATAGCACCAAGGCTTCGCAAAGATGCCAAGACGACTTGCCTGTCATCGGAGTGGGTCGCAAAGTGAACAAGTCGTGCAAGGATGGTGTTGGCAGACATCTCGATAGCGCTAGGGCCCGTAGTGGGAGCGCCTGACCCGCCCACCGCTGCGCTTTCGGGATGGGAAGGCACCGCCGAGCCTCTGCCCACCGCAGCCTCGCCACTAGCAACGTCGGACTTCTTGAGTCTGCCGTAAAAGGGTAGCTTGGGACCAACCGCCTCGCAAATATCCAACCAGGCGCCTTTCATCTCTCGAATCATTTCCAACTCTGTCCAGCTATCATCCTCTTGATCCAAAGCCGATAAAGAGAGCACATCCGCAAGCATTCCAATCAGATTTCGTCCACGGGCAATAAGAGTAGCGTTTTCAGATCTCGTGCTAAGATTGCGAATCACCTGCGTGGCATTCAGTGCCCGCAGAGCGAGGGCAAAGTGTGCTGCGTCGCTAGAAGGCATGAAAGAAGCACCCTTGCGTCGCTCGTCTTCGTCATTCGCCAAGGCTGAAGCCGGGGCCGAGAGTGCGCCAAGTCTGGTAGCTAATCCTGAATGACCCTGCTCGAGCGCCAGTCGTTGCTTCTTTCGAAGAGCGGCGGGACTTTGCGACTCGGAGTAAGAGAGATCGACGGGCACCGGTTGACCCAAAAGCATGGCGCCTCGTTCAGGTGATTCGGGCGTCTCAAAGAACAGAGGATCCCAGGCCTTGCGTGGAGCTCCTTGCAATGCTGCAATGACGCGCAGGGGGAAGCTTAGAAGGGCATCCAGAAGCCCTGGCCAGCGCTCGAGCAGAAGATGATCCGAGTGATGGTAGGAGGCGTGCAGTAGTCTAGAGAGAGCCCAATCTATGTGCGATGGTAATGTGCTCCGAAGGGACAAATAGAGTCGATTGGATGGACCAGGCATTAGGTTGTATGCTGCGAAAATGAGAGAGCAAATCAGTCCCTGCTTGCTCGCTAGCGCAAAGTCGCTCGAGACATTATGACGATGACACGAACCTTCGCTCCCATCTTCCGGCTCAGCGTGACCTTCCCCTCCTCCTCTGGGCCTTTTCTCAGCCCCGTTTGCCCTTGACGCAAGTTCAACCCCTTGACTGGGCACGACCGGACGAGGTCGATGTGGCAGGGGAGAGGGCGCAGCGGGATGGTTCATTCTCGGAGAGCGTCCGTAAGGCGATGCGGCTCCATGTGACATTGTGCCGTGGTCTTGTTCACTTCTGTGCCATGAATGTGTGTGTTCGCGTACGAGCAGAGGCTAGAGAAGAGCCAAGCCTAGGATGCTTGCAGAAGCCGAGCTTGCGAAGCTTCGCGTCCCCGAAGCTAGGCTCGTGGCCGGAGCTCTAGTTCGTGCAGCGGCCAGGCGTAATCACCGGTGTGAGGCGAAGCCTTTCGAGGTCACAATGATGGAAAATGGGTGGCAAATCGGGGCATGTCAATCTTGAGGGTGGATGTGTGGACCACGGATCACTCTGAATGGTGAATCTGAATGGCAGCGACGTGAGCAACGAGGCAGCGATCGGTTAAGCGCGTCAGGGCGAACATTTGACTGATGGTGTGAATCCGCAACGCGTGCGTGCATGCATGCAGCAGCGATCGATCGATCCAAGCGCGCCGCGTCGCTTGAAACTCTCATCAAGCTGCATCAAATGTCTGTCCACTTCGCAATCACGTGAATGCAATGACAGGCGTCACGCTCGCCGTTACCTTTCCACAACCACGAATCGCGAATGCACTGAAAACTCCGATGAGTCTGGGTGTGCTCAGTTTCCCTTTTGGATGCGGGTCATGCTTGTGACGAGTCAGAAATGGAGAACGCATGCTGGCGCTTGAGCCATCGCACATCGTGTCACACGTAAATACGCGCACATCCAAGGATCAGACCGTCAATCACGAGTGCAGCATCAAGCGTGTACACCCACAGAGCAATACGTGAGCTAGACAGTGTCCCATTCCAGGTAGAAGTATGAGCTGGATGTTTGCAGACGGTTGCGTTTTGAAATGCGAGTATGATCTAGTGATACATCATGTTCCGAATCGGAGAGAGAGAGAGA